CTGCATTCTGGGTGTTAAGGAGTTTATGTCTTGTATACAGCGCTCAGACAAAAAAAAAAGGGGGGGGGGCGGGGGCTGGGGCTAGTAATTTGCCTTGGGAGAGGGTTGGGTGAAGGCTCTCTGTGTGGAGTGTATCTCATTATGGCTGAACTGTGCGTTACCTTTAGTAAACAGCGGGACCCATTTCTCAGGCTAGCGTCACTCTAAGAAAGCAGCGGGGCTGGTAAACGACTGCGGCCCAACAGCGGCACACACAGCCATCCCTCAACTCGTACAGCCCCACAGGGATCCACGCATTTGGTCATGATTAGTCAGACGGAATAAATAATCTGCTCTCCCGACAGGCCCCCCCCCTTCATTTCGGAGGGTGTTGAATGGACGTCCCGTAACAGCTCTTTTGTGTTAGCAAATTCCCCGCCAGTTATTTTCGCTCGACGACCTTCTCAATCATGAGAAAAGTCAAAAATTCAATTTATGAGCCAGACATTTGTTATTAGAGCCCCCTGTGTTTAAGGGTACATGTATTTCTAGCAACGCTGTCGTGCAACGCTATTCCATTATTATGTCATATTAGGGGAAAACGGAACGAGACATTTATTTAATAGCTCGGAGGTATTTACCATACATAGTAGGGGCTACGTAATAAAAGCAAAGTCTTGTGACAACATTATCTGACGCAGATCTGTGCGCAACAAAAGGTCTTACGAAGCCAAACAGTGTCTCGCGATCGTTTTCATTTTGTCTACAAAACGATAGCGTTTGGACATAAGTGTTTCTTGTTTACTGTGTAATGAAACTAATCCCGCTTCATTTTTTTTCCCCCGACTCCATGCAAGCCACAGCCTTGCATCCCGACTCCGACACTTCTGGCCACATCCTTAAATAGTTGCGACGTTCTGCCACTCTGCGCTCGGGCGCGGTGGCCCTCTCATGCGTGAGAAGCAAAACAAGAGCAATTAAATATTCATTCTTTTTACCCTGTACAACCGTTTCCACGTCGGTTCAACTGCGAGAAACCACACAGTGTGAGACAGATCCACTCGAGCCTTCGCCTCCAGTGACTCCAGTATTATCAAGAGGCGGTAGAAGGCGTTTTTTTTTTCCTTGGCCTCCCCATCTGACAGTGCGCTGGTGTTGTTTTCATGTCGTACGACCACATGTGGACACTGTAAATCAAACACTAATTATGCCACGCACTGACCTGCCAGTTAGCGCGCTTCTTCATCCGCTCGTCTTAATTGACGGCGCCCAACGAATTTGACGACAAAGGCGTATGTGTTTCGGCACACTGTAAGCAGCCCGGTTAATTAAGACGCGCTGACAACTGATGAACTCTGCACGTCGTTATGGATCTGCCGCCTTTAATTGGGAAGAGTAGTAATGATGAACACATTGTTCTTCGCTACTCTGTGGCTGCAGTGTCGCTGCAGTAAAAGCAGCAGGAAAACTGCTGAGGTATC